AATATGAGACAAGATATAGGGATGGTGTCATGTAGCTTTGTGCATCTTTGCTGTGTAATGACCCCTTGTTTCTTCCTTTTTGGTGCTTCAAGCCATCCCTATATCCCCCTTTCATTTTGAAGAAATGATTTTTCCACTTGTACTATTACCAGCCGTGTCATTGAGTATCTGAGTGGAGACAGAGAGGTCCTGGGTCATTCCTCCAACTGGAACACCCTCCAGTACCACACACAACACTGCACGGTGCCCCCCAGTCACTTGTACAGCAGCAGCAGACTCAAAGTACACCGACACAGAGTTGACTACACACACAAAATGTATAGTGCATACTCAACAAGGTGCTATTATAGTGGACACTATATATTACCTTCATCGTCTATCACTGTCAAAGTAAGAGTGTCAGGAGAAGACGGGGTGATAGGCAGGTTTTGATCTGAGATCTCCAGACTAATGGTCAACTGCCACATCCACTCTAGTACATCATTGTCGAGAGATACTTCAGGGCACTCTAACTGACCACCGGCCAATTCACCGACAGCAAAAGTAACCAAAGTGGTAGAAATAGTTTCTGGGAAGAGATGTTTAGCTTTGGTTGCAGACAGGGATGGGTTCTACGTTAAATAGTATACCTTGTTCAGAGGAAATGGTGATATTGACAGCGAGAGGGATGCTGGTATTGTCGACCTCCTCTATTCCAACACACACACGTAGTGGCATTTCCTCTGGGACGGATGTGGGCAGTGGTATGAGGTGCACTTTGGCAACTGCATACCGATAAGTAAGATACACGTGTAGGTCAATTCTACAGTTGTAATCTTACTGTCATTGTCAAGGATGTGAACTGTGGCTTCCGTGGAAGCGGAACAGGAAATGACGGATGAGGGTGACACAGACGCTATCTCTACAATGAACGAACGTTCTCCCTCCACACGCATGTTGTCGGTGGTACTAATGGCGATGCAGAGGTGTGCTCCATCAGGATGAAACAGAGGTACTGAACTAGCAGAGAGCCTTATCCGTGTGCTGCTGGGTACATAGTCTTCTCCTCTAACTAAACAAAAGGAGCTTCTACACTCTAGTTATTCCGTTGTCATTATTACCTGCAAGTACAGTGTCTATGAAGTTTAACTCCACAACTATATCTTCCGTGGTATCAAGGAATCTACCAGTCAGATTAGCACAGATGTGTACAGTGCTACCTTCATCAACATTAACATCACTGACTTGCATCTCCACTGCATATTCTGGTAGTTAAAAAGTATATTATGGTGAATGTGGGAAGGGGGTAGACAATTTTACCGAAAATATCTTCGCAGCAGTCTCCCCTCGCGAAACACAAGTTGTCACAGAAGCAATTTGAGTTGCGTGACTGGCAATTCTCAACTGGGCCCACACAACATTCCTCAGAGAAGCCCAATTCTGCACAGCTATCACCTATACACCAGTATCATGTGTCACAGTCACAGAAAGACACTTTGTGTATATACCTGGAGGTACTGTGCCTGGAGCAGTGATAAACACCCTGGCTGACACACTTCCATCGTCCAGTGTAACAGTGGGAGATGAGCTACTGAGACTGACTGAAAAGAACTCGACTGGTTCCATTATTGTGTCGTGAATTATGGGAATTTCGACGCAGAATGGATCACGAAACGTGTTCCCATCAAATACTATATATACTCCTGTGAGACTCACGTAGTCCACACTGGCTTCATATTGAAAATACCACGATCATAAGCCTTCCATAGGGTGTTGGAGCATACTTACCTAGTGCTGAGCCAGATGCAGTGCTAAGAGTTAGTAGCGCCACCTCAGACGGTGTCAGTTCGCCTGACTTCACTTCCGCACATACCATCACACTCCCTTCACTTTCACTGACAGTATAGCCACTTGCAGTGAACCCAACTTCAACTGCATCCACACAAAGTACGGTGGACATCAAGAGGTATATATGACAGCATGTGTGTGAATGTATGGAGGAGAAAACGGTTAAGTAACATCAAGCCATTGGAATGGGCCAGCCCAGCACATCCCACACATACCAAGGTCTCCACCTCCTGATTCACCACCTGGATGTGTTCACATAATATACAGCTATAAAGCTCACAGCATGTAGCTATAACGTTAAGGTGTGGAAGCTTACCTCCCGTCTGCCTCTTTAGAATGCCTTTATGCTCCAGCATCATGACTGTTTCTTCTGGCAGTAAAAATCAGAGTGTGGTGTTGAAATTTATAAGAGTGTAGCTACTTTACCTGGAAATTCACACACGTTCCTGAAGCTTCCATTTGTGCACAGCTCAAACTGTCCTTTGGTGATGCGAACCTTTCCATCAGTGCAAGCTGCAAACATGTATAGCCCACACACTCTTAGCATTTTGTTATTCTATATATGATACCATTGACTGCTGGGTCTTTTCTGAATCTGGGACAAGTGATGTTTATGTCGTCACAGCAGTCTCTAAACTCATGGCAAGATCTGTCACAGAAGCAGTGGCCAGCGGGAGCAAGGCACTGCCCCTGATGGCAGCAACTGGTCCACCCAGCCTCCCTGCAGTTGACAGCCTCTGTGCATACATAATAATAATATTGCAAAATGATCTCTCTGAGAGTATAAAAAGACAGTGGTGTGGCAACTGAGTTCTATTGCTCATTATACACTCCAGTAACTAATGCACATGTCACCTAGAGAGCCAATGAATATACACTCCACTATTATCATGTTTGGCCTACATAAGAAACAGACAGCACATGCTGCTGGCTGCAGTACCTGCTTCTTTTCTTGTCCCATTCAATCCACTGTATGGAGACTCAGCAGCTTTACAAACAGCACTAGCCACTACCAAGACAAAGGTTGCTGTACATATCATTGACTGCATCTCTCCTCTACGCTACTGACGTGGGAGGAGGTAAAACACTGTATTTTATAAGGATCCCGTAACAAGAAGAACTAGAAGTTAAGTGAGCATGGAATTTTCTGTTCAAATGCCTCGCATACTCACAGTTAGACATACAACACTCAGTGAGAGTATAATATTATATATATATTATGCACAATGATAGAGCTATGTAATTATAATAAATGATTGTTATTGACCGATGAGCATAGCAGTCATAAAAATATTTGCTGAGAGTGAAAGATAATTATAACAAAAAGAGAGCTATATACTTATTGTGAGGCTGGTATACTGCTACAGATCCTGTGTAGCCTGTCTGTTCTACCACCTGTATTATCCAGAAACCTGTGCACTACCGATTGCTGAAAGCCACCTCTGCCAACAGCCACCAGTACGTCCACACGCGAGAGATACTCCATTTCCACCAGTGAGGCAAAGGCAGGGCTTCTTGGGACTCCATCAAAAGCTGCTGGGTCAAACGACACAACCGGAAGACTGAGTTTTTTTACTTCTTCCACAAAGTGCGATCGACTGTCAACACAGTGTGTTAAGGTGCAGCTCGTAGTGCCGTAGGGACCCAAATCATGGAACAAACAAACTTGTTCCCTGGCTGCTTTAACTGGTCCCCCGAATAGAACATGTTTCAGTTGCTGAAAGCAGTGGAGATACAGTGAAGCATTTCCCTTTGAGTCCAACAGCAGTCTCTCTCCACGTATGTGTACCCCAATGACTGGTCTTGTTGGGTTCAAGGTCTGAGGAAAACCTGCGTGCTGCAGAAACCACTCCCACACTGAATCGCAGCGCTCTTTGAATCTCGACATCACTAACCTTAGCAAACCCGGGGACAAAGTAGAAGAATTTAGAATCGTTGATAGCGTGGATACCCCTCCATCTCTCTATCACTACAGTCGCAGAGCCAAATTTCCAAACCTCCTCGGAAATTATGGAGTTTAATTTTTCTGTTATGTTGGAGAGAGGCAGTGGATGATAAGGCCGTGCATCTATAAAGACAACACGTGATGTTATGAAACGTTTTGAATGCCTACCAAGCTCTGCTGAGCTCCATCGGTTCAATTTCTTTATGAGATCATAAATAATGATGTCGAAAGTTTTGTGGGTCGATTTCAACGATTCTACTGCTCCTATTGTTCCCAGAAAAGTAGATTCCTTGAAATTGTGTGAGGTCAGTGAGAAAGTACACAAGTATAGCACGACGAGACGCCCTCCCAGCAAACGTTTTGAAACTCACTAACTCATTAATGACCCTGTTGGATTTGAGGGAAGCCGTCAGGTGCTCCAGTTCATACAAGTCGCCCAACCTCATTATCTCTGAACCCACTGCCGGGACTCCCACTAAAGTTGTTCCGAGCACAAACGGCTCCACAGCTGACAGGTTTAGGAGGCCAGCGAGTTTTGCCAACTGGCAGTACCCGCCAAGTGCTGCCTGCAGCTGCTGGTCATAGTTTGCAGCCAGCAGGAATCCACGGGTTCTGTCCGACGTACTCGGAGAATGACTGGTTGCGTCATGTACTTTCCTTTCCAGTATGGATATAACTGAAGGACTATTTGAGGTGGTTGAACCTCCTGATCTCTCCTCTGGTGAAACGAAGACCCCATGAGCTAAATATCTCCGTGATTGCAAGCCATAGCTTAGATACACCATACTTAGAGCCATCATCCCAGCAGAAAAGAAGATGAATTTTACCAGCAGGCCACCTGTACAGAGACGTACCTCTCCGCCCCGCCATAGATGTGACCCAGTACACCCACGCAGCAGAGTGATATACCTTTGTCCCCGGCGCCCCGCGCCGCGGCCGGCCCGAGATCGCAGAGTTCGGTGTGCGCATGCGTGCATGGCTCCACGGTCAATCGAAGGGGCGGGGCAGACAGAGGTGATTTCGTCGCTCCTCCCCATATCCTTTGTTGATTTAGTCTAGTGACGCCTATGATTAGTTAAGCCTCCAGTGAAGCGCAAGACCCCAGCATTCACAACAGACGAAGAAGAAAAAGTCAACCACCTTTCCAACCTCGTAGATGGGCAACAGACCTTGAAGGTGAGCGACTGTCTGTACTTATCGCAGGGTTTGCGGCTAGCTATGGCCTGTATTTGCAATCATCAGCAGTTCCCTCTTTTAGCTAACTGGTTCGCGGGAGACAGGCAAATATATGTAGATAACCGGCTCTCGGTGATACTTCTGCAGTGCTGTGTTGTTTTCTGGGTCTCTTGCTAAGCTACATATTGATTTCGTCTCGTGTCATGCATGAGGTGTTGTAGCTATTGTAGCTATTGTAGCTAGCTAGCTGTAGCTAGCTATATACAATTAACTGTAAGTTCAGAGGGTGTTCTCCAATGTGTTATTACCTGGGCATATTGCAAAAAAAACCTGCGTGGCATGCAGTGTTTGCTAGCTAGTGCATCTGTAGTTTTCATGCATGTGCTTTCACCCAAACATCTTGTGTACCGTTACCATTGCAATGTTATAACTGTGACGACATGACTGTGTCCTTCCACCCCAAGGTTTACATATTTGAAACTTTGTTGGTCCAGTAAACTGCAGTATGTTTCCCGCACAAACTGAAAGTACAAATAACTGCCGCACCAAATTTATTTATAACACTGATTCGTGCTCTTGAAAGAAAAATGGGGGAGCGGTGTGTTATTTTGGGTGTGTTATTTCGGACCTCTTACGCTTTGCAAAGCTAAGAGTGCTAACTTTGGGGGGAAGTTACATTAATTAAGAATAATACAGTTACAGCACCACACCACAGGCTAAGTATCATGGGGTGGACTCTGTTTACAGTATTGCCATAATAGGGGTAGCATGCAGCATGCAGGGCGAGCTCCACTACTAATTACATGCCTCAGCAATTCACTTGTGTGTGTTGAAGCTGACCATCCCCCCTACAATTTGCTCTGTGTAGCTATCCCCATGTGATTGATGCAGCTATCAAGTTGCAATATTTGGGGTGAGAGAGAGAAATGTGATACGCTTTGCAGAAAGTTAAAGCATATTCATTGTGTGTATCTTACCATTAATCACTGCATATGTGAGATTTTTAATTAGAGCCATTTATAAAGAGGTTTCCTGTTGGGTGATTTCAGTGTGGTGGACTATTAGCTATTAGTACGGTGGCTAAAGTGATCTAAAAGTAAAAAGGTAGGTATAGATTTGAGTCTATAGCCTGTCAGTTTTCCTGTAACCATTAGTACAGCACTTTAGCTACAGTGCAGTAGAGTAGTACGTATATAAGTATTCTGTTTTGGTTGTCGTTGACATAAAATGTATCCAAGTAGCATGTGACCATCTGAACCTTATTGAGCACAATTTGAAACCCCAAGTAATCACCTGGTTACCAAGTAGAAGGCTAGAGTTACATTGCAAGGTTCTAAACTACTGTAGTATTATAGCTGCAGTATATACAGACACTTTAGATAGCAGACATTTCCTGCCGCCAACTTCCTGCCTGATGAAGGTTCATACCACGTAACTCCATGACAACCCCTTTCACAGAGACACAGTACCACGGTGTCTGATGAACAGGGTCATAGGTCACACAACTATCTGTCTTTCCCACTTCTACCACTCTATATTCTGGGAATAGCACTTCAATAAGTTATAAACATGTATGCAATATTACGTAATGTGTTCCGCTAAATAAGAATTTCCACTCTGTGGCTCCCTCCTCCGTTTATTGCATACCACGTCCATCATTATCATTAGTTTCGGTCTGGTCTGTGTGTTATAATAATAGTATAGTCATGTGGCAGAACTTTCATCTTATGGCTTCCCCCCACGTGTGTGTGTGTGTGTGTATGTGGTTCAGGTCTTTTAGACCTTATATTGATTAGTTGCACTCAATGAAGTACAGCTCAGCTAAATACACTGTACATTAAGAGAGTGACCTAAGTGCCAGATTTGCTCACCTACATAATGAGCCCAACAGCTCTGAGTATACCATAGTTCTCATCAGAGATATGAATAGCATCTTGTGACACCTTTCTTGAAGAATGATGCCACGTGGCTGGAATGTACCAATTTCCTGAAACAGGGTGTGTCATGTTGCCTTGTGCCTATGTATTCCTTCCTGTCCTATTTCATTATTGCATGTACTGTGATGTTGAGAACAGCTAAATGAGTGGTGGCTGAGCACTGTGCATACACCTTTTTGGATCCCGTAAAATACCCTGATACGTCTGTTAGTAGCTCTGTGTGTATGTGTGTATATATGTTGCAGTGCCCAGACAGGACAGCATGAGCCCTGTAAGGGCGAATGCTGTCCTGTCTGGGCACTGCAACAGATTTGTTGGATATCCCTAGGCAAATGACGTGTATGAACCCTGCTTGCACATAGTAGGATTGTATAGGCTGATAGTACCTAGCTTCATACATGTCGGTTGCCTAGGGATATCCAACAAATGTGTGTACAAGGTACAGCTATGTATAAGCAAACTGTATACATACACACCCATACACCCACTGATGAGGGCTGAACTATGATTATTCACATCCAATGAACCGACAGACCGCTGCAGATCGGCGAACATGTGTGTGTTATGTTCTGCCTCGAGACGTTGATGCATGGTTTAGCAAAGAGCTACTATAAACTTTTGCCAGCTGTTCTGTTGCTTTGTTGTCTGCAGTGACACATTCCAAAACTCACTCACTCACCGTGTCACGTTCGTTAGATCTCTTGGTTGCAAACACAACCCCTTCCATGAGTGAGTCTCATGCTACCAGAATGAATGGGTGAATAGTTTTACGTAATGTCTGGAACTTATCTTGCTACCACCATACATAATGGCATAATTATTAGTTTTGCATAACCCAGACATGTCCGCTAATTAAGCTGTATTCTACATGGCAATTGGTGGGTGAAACAAGCCCACTTAGTCGGTTGTCTGATTTGCTGGATTTTTCGACTGTATGTAGACGGCGCCATCCGTATCGTAATGCTGTTGAAATTTTACACTTTCAATCACCAATATTGTTCTTGTATGTAGGTGAAATTCCCCATCTATAGTATAATGTAAATACTGTCGGTGGAGAGTGGGTCCGGTACATATTATGTTGCATCATTGCAGTCTCCTAGGCTGCAACCGTCCCCGCCCACAACACTCTGCTCCTTTGTAAAGCATCCACCACCAACCATCATCTCCATATTCGTACCTCCCTGCCGGCTGCTGGTGTGCACTGTTTGTATAGGGACTAGTCTAACCAGAAGAGATCAAAGAGAGTTATTGTTGCCTGCCGTGCCTCGCCCGTTGTTCCTTTCACACTGGCATGTTTCCACACCGGTCTGTGTGTATAACACTATACAGTCGTGGTGCTGTTGCTAATTACATATCCATGCTGGCCCATCATTGGCGTAGTTTATTGCCTGGTGCTCTTTGTTATGCTCTGTGGCTGACTCACTGTACATCTGCACTTGGAATTCTTGTACACGAATGGGGTTACTTCTTCGTAATTTTGTTTGTCGTGTCACCCTTTCCGTGGTTCACATGCGTGTGTACGTTGAGAAGGTCAAAGGGCAGAGGAACCGTTCCTATTCAAATTATCAGTAGGATTGGTATACGGTGTCACATTTGGGCCGGGTGGGGTAAAGTTAACCAGTATTTTGTTGAAAATTCCTAGAAATTTGACTCGGAGACAGAGTCAACTACCTGTGGTGTGTGCCCAATACTTTTTGTGCATCAGTAGGCACCAGTAGGCACTGGTATGTCAACAGGATTGGGTATATTGGCTATCAACTCCCACTTGGAAATTCCTTCAGTTAATGGGGCTCCTACACACACATTAACTTGCATATTGATGTGCACCAATAGTATATGTACTGCAGTTGATATGCGTCTCCTATGTAAATTAACTTGTGTGGGTCCACCAATAGTCAATAGTTTCCGCTTGTACGTATGTACAACAACATGCATGAACGGATACTTGTATGTAGGTGGTGTCTGTACGCTGAATGTAACAGTCGGGGTTGTTTTGAGGTTTGTGTTGGAGTGGCCGCTGTTATCACAGGAGGTGACGGCTAGCAATTCCAACGTACCGTAGGAGTGTGAGACAGGGCATCGATTGCCATCATAAAGGGCAATGGTTTAAGAATATTCCCGTCTATTGTGGGAGTGAAAGACAGGCACCGTTGTGTCGGACTATGACGGCTGGTGCAGACATGTTCAGCCGGCCAGGCGTCTCTTGTATAGAAAGGATGTTCTAACCGAGGGACAATTATGGGTACACACTACGCTCAGAGTGTTTGGGGAGAGGATGTAGCGCGTGTGTGTGGTGCCATCAAAGTGTTGTAGAGTATTGAGACAGTATTACCAGAGGATGTACAGGATGGTGCTCCCACCTTTACTGCAAGCCAACTCATCTACATACAAGTACAACTTCACTGGAATTTGGAGTTGTGGATAAAAAGGGACCTAGTGAAGCTAGGATAAATTACCCATTCCCCGCACTACCCCCCAATTGTATACACACAACTGTAGCCAGTGGGGGGACAATTAATGGTCTTGTATGGCCTTGTTGTTATTGGTGGTATTGGTTGGTGTCTGTCCATGTGTGTTCATTAGCAACTCTTGGCAGCCATGGCACTGTAATTTCTCTTGCGTTGCTATAGGCACTGCTGCATGTGCTTCTCTCTTGGGCTCCATTCATTACGCTTGTCCTGTCATACGCCAATTACGTAGATTAACCCTTTCAAAACAGCCCTGTTAATTGTCTTTTCCCCACAACCCCTTTTCTGTACTCCTTGTTTCAATGACAAGGGAAGGGTGATCACCTAATACCAAGTTGTGCAGCGGTACTGCATTAGTGTAGTACAATTATTAGTCATTACGCTCGAGGCATGTCAGACTTCCCAATGTTTTACAGTGACTCTAGTGTGTGAATTGGTGCATTGTTCGTAGTAGCGTCATATAATTGATTAGACATTATGCATGTGTTCCTCCACATGTTTTATGAGACTCAAATTCCTTTCTCTATATGCACATGTTCAGGTTCATCGTACTTGGATTTTGTCAAGGAGATGTGTTGGGGCCAGCATAGGCTTTGGACTGTTCTGCTGGCTCTGCTGACGTGGACCACAGCCCTCACCGCAGACGCGAACCCCGACCCGATCACCACTCTGCGCATCCTGCTCATCGCCCCGTTTCCCGATCCCGTCCTCCAGCCGGGCTACGACGCCGGGCACACCATCATCCCCAGCGGGCTCCTCGCCGTGGAAGAAATCAACAATGACTCCTCGCTGCTCCCCGGGTACCGACTGGAGGCTGTTGTCGGGGACGGCGGGTGCAACACTGACGAGAAAGCCGTGTCACACATCCTGGAAAACGTCATCCACAGACGTCCCGGTGATAGGGTCATTGGAGTAGTGGGGCCGATTTGCTCCGAAGCCGCACAGACCCTCTCGGAGATTATCAACAGACAGAAAATCCAACTCCCGCTGGTCACCATTGCCAACAGCCCCGTCCTAACCGTCCCCGATAGGTACCCCTTCACATACGGCGTCGTGAGCACGTCGCACGAGTACGCCAACCTGATTGTCCGGCTGTACCAGGAGATGAACGGGAGGTGGAAAAGAGTCTCGCTCTTCTACGACGCCAACCGACTCTACCACGTGGAGATATACCGGTCCATTCTGACGGAGCTGGAATCGGAGGGAGTGGACCTGGACCAGATCTACACCTCTCCCATCAGCCCGACGTACCTGCCACTGGAGGACGTGATCCAGGGAGGGACACGTGTCGTGTTTGTGTTCTCCAGTCGAGTTCCTGCCTGCATGCTCATGTGCCGGGCAATCCATCTGAGTATGAGCTACCCCAGGTACCAGTTTATCTTCACGGACCGCACCGTTCAAAACTTTGAGCAGTGCGCCAACAACTCTGACCTGGTTTTCACGTACAACCAGCAGAGGTATAGCTGCAGCAGCGACCAGTTACGCGCGTCTCTTCACAACTACGTGTTTATCGACTTTGATCTCGAGGCGCTGAGCCTGGAGCTGGAGAACGTCACCGCTGTTTCGGGCAACACCTACCAGGAGTACAGGACCAAATATGAGGATATGCTGAAGGACTACGGCAATAGGACGGGAGAGGGGGAACTCCCGGCAAACCAGTGGGCTGCCCCGTTTTACGACGCCGTGTGGGCCCTTGCTTTGGCCACCAACAGCACCCTGGAGACCCTTGATTTCGACTCCCAACTTGGTATCTGGGACGCAAGCACCCTCACCAGCACCTTCAACAACCTCAGCTTCCACGGTGTGTCTTCCGTGGTTAACTTTGACGAAGAGACTGGGTATTCGAACTCGACCATCAGCATATCCCGCCTGGAGTATAACGAGACTTCGGGCAAGTTTGTCCCTGTACTCAAGGGCTATTACAACAGTGGTGTTCTGTTTGATGCCAACGACAGCAACAGCAAGGAAGTAGTGCTCTCCCTGTACATAAACTCTGCATTTGACACATCAACGGAACTGCTTCCTCGCACTGTAGCGATACCAGGCTACATTTTGACCATCCTGGTGTTTGTGACGACCGTGGTCTACCACATCCTACACTACCACTATCGCTTCAGGCCGTCTGTCAAGGCGGCCAGTCAGACACTAAACCACTTCATATTCCTCGGGTGCTACATTATGCTCGCCAGCATTATTCTCGCCACCACCGACCTCACCCTCTCCCTGCACGACTTGCTACACCTCTCCTTCTGCTACACGGTCGTGTGGCTGCAAAACATTGGAACCGTGCTAGTGTTCAGCACGCTGTTTGTCAAGTACTACCGACTCTACCTGGTGTTCCTGCGGACCTACGACCACAGGCAGAACCTCTCCAATGCGACACTCTCTGTCATCGTCCTGGTTCTCGTGGGAATAGACCTGCTCATCCTCACCATCTGGACGATTTTTCAACCTCTTCAGATTGACACTTCGGTCGAGTTTGACCTGACGAGCACCATGCCCACCAACAGGGAGAAGAGGATCTGCAGGGAGGTGGTGCCGGGGCAGTGGTTCACAATCTCTCTCTCGCTCTACCTCGGGCTCCTCATCCTCGCGGTTGTGACTCTCTCCATCCTAAACCGCCGCATCAAACAGAGGGATTTCAACACCACAGCCACCACAAATGTCCTCATCTTCTGCTACGTCCTCCTCCTACCATCCTCCTACCGTCAGTGTACCTTCAGAGCAACTACAGCAACATCGACCTCAAGTACATCCTCATCAACACCGTACATCTGGCGTTTACCATACTCTGTCTAGCGTTTCTGTTTACGCCGCCTCTGTTGCAGAGGAACAGGACAAACAGGCAGTCCTACACGCTCACACAGCAGCTGCAGAGGATTTCAAACGTCGTAGCACTGGGCAGACTAGACAGTAGTGTAATATTGTGGAGAAGACCGTCTGGTGTGTCGTAGCACGGTTGGTCAGCTTTTTAGAATGTCCGTCTTCATTGTGTCACTTATGCAGGTATTATAATAATATGTATGTTTTGTTCTGTACCAAAGCCACCACTTATCCCTTTGTATCCGTCAATAACAACTTCTTTTTTTTTAAAAACAACTTTTTGCCACCGAGAGTAAACAAGCCAAGGACACATAAATGTGTCCAGAGCCTTCATAATTTATATATATGGGGTTATAATACTAGAAGCTAATACAATTTTCTTCTTATTTAAGCAGATACCCATGGCATCCAATGGCCAATCATAACATAACAAGTCACGGACTCGCAGTACATAATGAAAAGCACTAAAGTACAAACCCTCGGCACAGATAGACCAACACACAAACCAAGTGCTGTAACCCTCACTGTGCATGTGAACCGAGGGTTAATTACAAGAAAGGAGGGACATAAAGTTGGCAAATGCATTGATCAACACACAGAGACAACATTCTACTATATATATATAATTGTCAAAGAGCCATGCCATGCTTGTGAACATAAGAGCACTCGGGCTATGCTTACAGAGCGATATGTGGCGAGGGAGGCAAGCAGCCGCATTATGTATATCATGCCACGCTGTCACTACAAACTGTTTCAAATTCCATACATCTTTACACAAGGCAATCCTCCACACTGCACACACCTGTGGTTCAGTACACATGCAGAGCTATGTAGGCTGTTTCATTTACGGGAGATGATTAAGGGGGAAGGGGAGGATGGGGGTTTTAGTCCATGGAGTCAGTGTCAGTGACGTTGGTCGAGAGCTCGGGTGGTACTGGTGGTTCTGCAGCCGTCATACAACCTCTCATGTCTTTCTGGAGGACGTGTGCGTGTGGCGGGTCTATCCGCTTGTAGTATTGCTCCTTTGTCTCCACACTGTGGAAGTCAAACTTCCGATAGAAGGCGAGGGCGTCTTCGTTGTTTATCTGAACGTGGCTACGTGACAAACGAAGGGGTAAACATCAGAATAGACGTGAGTTACGGAATGGATACCTACGGCGATGCTGAAACTTACAGGTATATGTTGTCAATGTTTCCGTGGTCTCTGGCCTTCTGCAGCACATGATTGAGAAGAGCTGTGCCTGTAGAGAAGGAAATACTTCCTCCACAGTATAGTGAAAACCAAAAAACAATATGGCTTAGTGGAAAACCAACTGTCATTTTCAAAGTTGTTTCAAGACACCAGAAGGTGAAATGGGGAGGGAAAGATACACAACACAGTGCCAACACAAGACGACAGATTAACATACCAATTCCCAGCCTACGGTAGGGGGCGAGGCAGCCCAGGGTCATGATGTACATTCTGTGTTTGTCTCCCTCCGTCTCAACTCGGCAACACACAGCGCCCACCACAAGGTCGTTGAAGTATGCTGCACAATACGAGTGTGCACCAGTGTGTGTGTGTGTGTGTGTGTGGGCAAGTATATTGAAACGATTACACAGACAAAGTCCCTAACGGACTCTGTTGTTTCAATTGTATCTCAAAGAGGAGGACGGAGACAGATGCTCACCCCCACCCACCCTAAAAGAGACACCGTTGTGTGTGGACAAGTGCATGTGTCAACAACGGGGTTTAAGGCAAAGGCAAGCAACACAAAGACACAACTCAATCACAATGCACGAACTTCAAGGCAAAGGCAAGCAACACAAACCAATATATACACACACCCGAATGTTCTAGAATCTAAGCACATGTTCTCCGCATGTGGTTGTCAGAGGTAAAAGTTTATCCACTAAAAAAGCTGCTTATTCTGTATCTGGAGCTCGAGGTCAAAGTATAGCATGAAATGTTTGGGACATAAAAATCACAGGTGATTGCACAGTAACACAAGCATCTGTAAAAAGATTTTATTCTCACAAATTGTGAATTGACCTCTCACCTAACTTGGCCATACTACCAAGTTCCAGCACATCTTTGTAGAACTGTACAAACACAGCAGGTTCATCGTCCGTATAATTGAACACAAACTGACCCGACCTTGTCCGTGTAGGCGATAGGGAACACCACCGAGTTTAGCTTCTTCAGCTGCCGAATGTTATGCGGGGTGACGTCTCCCAGCTCAATGTGGCCACTTCGGGAGGAGAAAGGCACACCGTCATGTTCACAAACAGAGAGGGGAGACGGCTCTATCCTCACCCAACTGTGGTAGGCATCACGAGTCTCTCGTTCCCTGTGCTGTCGTCAGGAGTGAAAAGTTAGCATGTGGTAAGGGCCCGCCCAGCTTGTTTTTCTAACAAATGCGCACCAACGTCAGCCCCTCCCCCCAGACCATCATGCGTGCTCGTCAACGCCGCGCGTCTATCCCCCGATTGCTACTTCGTTTCTGGTATCTGGAAAAGAACCCTACTGGACGCACCATCCATCTCCAGTATTACACCGAGACATGCTGTATCTGGTGAACTCGTAATTCAGCGCAGCAACAACATCAGCATAAGACACCATAGCCAGGTGGTCTAGCTGTTTCATATACCGCTGATTTTTGCATTGTCAAACGTCGAACCTAAACACTGGATGTGGGGAGGAAAAGGTTTTATGCATTGAACCATTTCTTCTGAATTTCTTATTGTTGACAAGGGGCAACATTTGGTTTATGATGGTAGATTTCCATTACCGAGACACACAGAAATATTATATACAGTCTCGGTTTAATTAACCACTGGGCTGGCAGGACTTTCTTCATTATTATGACAACTGATGAAAGCTTGGCAGCACAAGACTCAAACCAGGATTTCAATTTCTAAACAGTAAATCTAGCACCAGAATTACCCATGGCCAGACACACCTTCACTAGAAAGAGATATATACCCAGTGTGTATTTGAACGTAAGCACTGGGAAGCAGTAGATACCTGTTGAGGAATCTTAGTTCATCACCTATAATACCAAGCATGGAAATATAACTAATTTTCGGCTAAATGCTCCGCCAACACTTCCGAAAACTTTCCGTACTGATATAATTCAGCCATGGTGTGTCTTATGTCGCTGATACCCATCATTATTGTTATGCCTATATACCAGTGGATAAAATCCTGCTTGTCTTCTCTTTTCTCCAACATTCTGAATTAGCCACTTGTATATATGCTTGTGTGTCACACCATTCATGGCATGCATGTAAGATTCATGTCCAACTAAAAATATGTTTTACCTAATATTCAGTCTCAATACAATCAACAAGAAAAAGCAATGAAATGCTGCTGAACCACATAGCTACTCCTCTTTATCACTAAGTACGGTAGTACTTAGTATATAGGGATGACACAGGTTGTCCTGCATTATGCCCATACATTTGAGATTTTCATGTTTCCCTTTCAGTTTCAATAATGTCCAACTTTTGACACATCAGACTGATCCGTATCGTCACAAAGAGCATGTATCCAAGAAATGGTTTAAATTACATAATCGGTACTTGATTTATTCAAAAAGTAGTTTTCAAAATTCTTCTTCTTGTTGTTGTTGTTGTTGTTCAGTTTCAACAAGCGTATCTCAAAAACCGTGTAAGATATGGAGATGAAACTTTGCACAGATATTGGAATCCATGACAGGTCGTGCAAGAGCATTTTTATTTCTTCGTAAACAATTTTGTTTACATGTAAACAACAACAAATAGCCCCAGGCAATACATTATGATAGAGACAAATAAAGTGTTCTAACTAGGTAAAGCTAATACCCAGAGTGATAAAACTTTGTACACACATGCAACCCATCATTAGTATCAAAATGTAAACATTACAAGTTTGTAAACAACAACAAACAGCCTCAGGCAATAAAAACTTGTAAAATGGTGTTTGTGCCTATAACATGCTTATGGTTGGTCCTCTAACAATGAAACTTGGTACACTGATGTACCATGATGAGAGTTCATCGAAACAGAAATTACAAGCTTGTAAACAACAACAAACAGCCCCAGGCAATAAAAACCTGTAAATGGTGTTTGTGCCTATAAATTACTTGTGGTTGGTCCTCTAACAATGAACTTGGTACACTGATTCACCATGATAAAGAGTTTACCGAAACAGAAAATACAAGGTTGTAAACAACAACAAACAGCCTCAGGCAAAAAAGTCTTTTGAATGGTGTCAGTGCCTATAACTTGCTTATGATGGGTACTCTCACAATGAAACTTGGTGCACTGATGTAATGTGAATGACGCAAAACGTCTGTGGCGATAGCTTAAGGCCACTATTGTTACCATTTTTATTGCACACCATGCATGTGAATGCAGTAAAAAAAAGGAAAGGAGACAAGTAAATAAAAACATTCTTCGAATTAAAAAGTGTGGAATATAGGGATGCCATAAAAAGTAAGGAGACAAGACAGGGATGACCTAGTGAACATGATGCATGACATCGCTTGCTCGTGTAAAATTTCCTCCACACGAGCCCTATATTGTCGCCACCTTTACTGTTTGTTTAGTGAAGTGGGAGGGCAAGTGAAATGCGAGGACAATGGTGAAAGGATTCTGTATGTAGATGGTCAAGAACTCAGTATTGTAAAACTGGTTAGTTGAGCAAATGTAGAAGCCTTAGACTCCACACACTGCAGTCACAACTGAAAACTGAGCAGATGGTATTACCTGTTGAATGTGCTAATGAAATAAATCATACCTGTGCATCACACAAGGGAGCACACTCATACTTTGCGACAATATAGGGCTTGTATGGAGGAAAGTTTACACCAGCAAGCGATGTCAGTTCAAAGTATGTAACCATCATCCATTGTACTACTGCATCATGTTCACTAGGTCATCCCTGTCTTGTCTCCTTACTTTTTATGGCATCCCTATATTCCACACTTTTAAATTCGAAGAATTTTTTTATTTACTTGTATATTATATCAATAGTATTGATACTTCATTCCTTGAGGCTAGGTACGATCTTCATCTAACCCCAGCCTCCTCCCTCTTGCATGATGGACCCTCTTGCTCTGTGCCCACCTTCACAGTCAACCGCTCCTCTTCCGTCTTCCCACCGTCTCTGTCGTCCTGCCTACACCCACACACTATTATTCACAACTTTCGCTCAATAGCCGTGTTAGGTATTTATTCATCAAAATGCATCCTGTCTGCCAGCTCCGCACTTGTGGCGCAATCGGTTAGCGCGTTCGGCTGTTAACCGAAAGGTTGCTGGTTCGAGCCCAGCCAGGTGCGATTTTTTCGTATTTTTTTTCAGGAGCTAACATCGATGCCTGCTATTTTGGACCTTTTACTGGTGATCACCTGCTCATCTGTACTTCTATATACGTACTATCACTGCCTAAGTTCGGTTGTGTTGAAGTTTCTGGCAAGGCATTTCACCTGTTCTTTTACAAAGCACTTGGTTTTTTTATCCTTTACTTTTAAAATATGTTTTTCACATCCAGCTTGCAGAAAATAGGCACAGAAAGCACTCCCCTGGTATATTATATTAATGGACCTCTATGGAATGGCATAATGCTTTGGATTTACACTCCCCACAAAAGTCACTATACTAATGGCCAGGTTGACACTTCAAGGAAACCTGTTCAAGATCTGTGTGTCTCAAAACGCCACCTTTGTCATATCCCTGTAAGTGATGGTAATCTGACAAACTGTGATAATATTTTTTCCTTCCAGAACATCAATGCTGTTTTTCCTTCTCCAACATGATTAACCCTCGGCGCGCATGCGCAGCGAGGGTTACGGTAGTTGGTCTGTGTGTCTGTCTGTCTGTCTGTGTGTGTGTCTGTTACCACGTTTTCTGCCACCACGCGCAACAACCGGCCAAAAAGTGACACCAACGGGTTCAGTGCTACGCTGGCTTCATTTTAAAAATGGCGATTTTCGTAAAAATACTGCGGCATGCGCAGTTGCCGGAGACTCCGGCCGTTTTCAAGCAGACCCAACACGGTAAACTGTTACACTCAGGATGACCCGTCTTAAAAGGTATGGCGTGAAAAGCAAGTGAACAAGCCAATATGCTAATAAAAAGCACTGAAGTGCAAACCCTCGGCGAACTGCGCATGCGCGGTACCGCTAACGGACGGACCCGCAGTCTCCCGCTAGTAGCTCGCGGAGAGTCTGACAAAGGCTAGCTACGGTAGTAGATAGCATGCGGGAGTCGATACACGCCCTTCGCTGTGGTTTCTTGTGCCTCCAAGGTACACAGAGCAAGCGGATCAGTCGGGGTGAGCCGCGTTGATCGCGTCTAATATACGCATGCGCACCGCTTATTGATGGGTTGGGCCACGGAACACGGTCCGCGACGGTGCCAGTTTGTCGCTCTCGAACGCAGTCGTTTCAGGAAAAACCGTTCGATTAAACTGATCCTTATTACCCGTTTATTACGTCGTATCGTTTGTGGGACGAATAAACCATCGAGAAGTCAGTTGGAGCATGGACAGACAAACAGACAAACAGACAAACAGACAGACAGACAAACCCAATGAAAAGCACTAAAGTGCAAACCCTCGGCATGCGCGGTACCGCTAATTGATGTGCTGGGCTATTAGTGTGCGTTTACTCGCGGTCTCCCTCTAGTAGCTCGCAAAGAGTTTGACACAGGCTAGCTACAGCAATAGATAGCATGCGAGAGTCGTTACACGCCATTCGTTGTGCCTTATTGTGCCTTCAAGATACACAGAGCAAGCGGACCCGGTCGAGGTATGAATATAAGCGCATGCGCATTTGCCGGAGATTTAAAATGGCGTCTACCGGCATATGCCGGATACGCTCTAGCTTTGCAACGGAGCATTTTCAGAGAAAACCGTTAGAAATTTCTGACCTTCTTTGCCCGTTAGGTAGGTCGTATCGTTTGTGAGACGAACAAACGTTCGAGAAGTGAGATTGAGAGTAACAGACAGACAGACAGACAGACAAACCCAATGAAAAGCACTGAAGTGCAAACCCTCGGCGCACTGTGACGCGCACGCGTAAGTAAACGCATGCGCAGTTTAGTTTTAGCTGTTACTCGCGGTCTCTTGCCAGCTCGCGCAGAGTCTGACGCGGGCTAACTACACTACTAGATAGCATGGGAGAGGCGATACACGCCCTGCGTTGCATCTTCTGGTGCCTCCGAGGTACGCAAAGCACGCGGATTGATCAGACCCCGGTAAGCCATCCCGTCCGTTGTGTATTTGCATATTGGCTTTTTCGCGCTCTAGCTTCGCAACGGAGCGTTTTCAGGGAAAACCGTTCGATATTTCTGACCTTCATTCCCCGTTCAGTAGGTGGTATCCTTTGTGAGACGAACGAACACCCGAGAAGTGAGATTGAGAGTAACACACAGACAGACAGACACCACACAGACAAACCCAATGAAAAGCACTAACGTGCAAACCCTCGGCGAACTGGGCTTGCGCGGTACCGCTAATTGATGGGCTGGGCTGTTATTAGTAGGCGTATACTCGTGGTCTCCCGCTAGTAGCTCGCAGAGAGTCTGAAACGGGCTAGCTACAGTAGTAGATAGCATGCGGGAGTCGATACACGCCCTTCGTTGTGACTTCTCGTGCCTTCAAGGTACGCAGAGCAAGCGGACCCGAGCCTGTTGAAAATCTAAACGCATGCGCATTTTCCGCAGCGATAAAAATGGCCGACTAGCATTAGCCGTACTATGGCGGAAGCACTCTAGCTTTGCAACGAAGCATTTTCAGAGAAAACCGTTCGTAATTTCTGACCTTCATTGCCCGTTAAGTAGGTCGTACTGTTTGTGAGACGAACAGACATTCGAGAAGTGAGATTGAGAGTAACAGACAGACAGACAGACCCAACTACTGTACCCTCGCTGCGCATGCGCGCCGAGGGTTAACTACTGTAACCCTCGCTGCGCATGCGCGCCTAGGGTTAACTACAGTACCCTCGCTGCGCATGCGCGCCGAGGGTAACTACTGTAACCCTCGCTGCGCATGCGCGCCGAGGGTTAATTAGCACAGACCGGGTCCGCTTGCTCTGTGTATCTTGAAGGCACATGAAGTCACAACGAAGGGCGTGTATCGAATTCCGCATGCTATCTACTACTGTAGCTAGCCCGTGTCCGACTCTCCGCGAGCTACTAGCGGGAGACCACGAGTAAATGCTACAAATAGCCCAGCCCATCAATTAGCGGTACCGCGCATGCGCAGTTCGCCGAGGGTTTGCACTTTAGTTAGTCAGTGGAAATGCATCAGCTCCATGTACATGTGTATGTTGCCTGTTTTGGCTGCAATGTGATTGTGTGGAGGGTTGGGCATCACGTGTATGCTACCCACGCGCGATCGATCATGGCCTGTGGCGGCGGACGGAGGTACGTTGTTGTAGGCAGTCACAACGCAAGACTGGATCCCAGCTCAGTGACAGACGACTACTGGGTTTGGGTACGCAATCCCGCCCACCTCGGGGTCACGTACGGTAAGTGGCTCGTGTTCGGGCGGAAGGGAAGCGTGCTGGACTCCAAGTGGCACAAGATTCATCCGCTGGTCAGCTCAGGCGCACTGGGAGCCACGGGAGCAAAGTGTTCTACCGACCTCTCCACTGGAACTTCGGCAGACGACGGTCGGGGAGTGATCTGCGTGTACACCACTCGAGAAATGCGAGACGAGGTTGGGTCGAGGCTGATAGAGGAGGTGAGGGAGACCATCAGGTACAAGAGTGACGAGGCAACTCTCGCAGGACTGTATGTTTCCCGTGGCCACAAGGGCGTGTGCGAGAAAACCTTGTTGTACTGGCAAAAGTGACACAAACATCAAATTGTGATTGCCTACTAATTAGCTGTCATACTCATATCACTTTCAAGTCGTCATAATCATCAGGAATTGGGTTTTCACAAACTTTCATGAATACATAAAACTATTATCAAAGTTTCTTCTCAACTGAATTCTGGTGGACCAGATAGAGGAACCCTATACTAGTTAGTGCACTGACCTGTAGGAAAAGAGTCACAATAAGCCTGCTTACAGATCGAGTTTTGTCTTCACACTACACTACCAATAACATTCTAAGATGACTAACGGTACCAACACAGATAATGCGCACTGTACTATAATGACATCCCCCTGCTAATAACTCACCAGGAATATGACGTCAAACCATCGATGATAGAAGCTGAACTCTAGTGATCCTAGTACTGTAGTTACTATGGACCTGCCAGCAACAGAAGTGCAGTAGTATAGCTAGTGCAGTGAAGATTATGGTTTTACCTGTATTTCTCTGGCATGTTCATTCTCATGAGAAGTACAGAGGAGACGAAGTACATACCCTATATCATAAAACCAATGACACATAAATTTGCACAAAACTGCATAAGGCCAGAATACCATGATCTCTGCCATGCACAGCACAATTATGTTGGACGACTTGGTACTGGCAATGGCATAGAAGAACTGTGGAAAAGGATATAGTACATTACAGTGGCAGTGTGGATGTGGTAGGATCAAGGCAATGTCACCTTAGTCAGAGTGATGAGTAGGCCCCTGACTGATGTGATGACAATGACACCAACCAGTATGAACGACACGTGCTGAGACCAGAATATCGCCTCCTGCCAGAAAATTGGTGATATATACAACTCCACTTGGTAGATAGTAAATCACAATGGAACCCCTGACAAAGGACCTCCAAATACGGCTCTGTAACGGACACTTGGTTCTCATTTATTACAAGGGATGCCTCGGATTTTTTTGAAAGTCCTCAAGGTTTCTCAGTTTTCAGAGGTTTCACTGTACACTTGTACGAATGTGAACAATTGCGCTAGTTAACATACATCTTTCTGCATCCCCAGCCAATTAACAGTGATTGAGAGCCCTTTGGTGACAGGATCTAGAAATGTTTTAAACATAAACTGTTATGTACTGTATGATTGTAGCTAAACACAACATACCCACTTTCCCTACTCTGTCGAAGATAATGTTGACGATACACTGCAGAACAAAGGCATTAAAGTATCGATGAGAGTATAATATATAGCTAATATGTCTCACCATGAATATCTTGTAGATGCAATAGATGGAGAAGAAATGACCCAGAATGTCAAAATACCGGCCTTTCAGTGTCTTTGAGTAGGCCATCCTCTCCTATTCATAAACACCACAATCACTCCACATAAATACATCACATTGAAATCTAAGTGGCCCAGCTACATCTTAACAAAACAACAACAACTCATTGAAAAAGAGACAGGACCATCCATTAGTTCTGCAGAATATAAGGGACGATTATATCGATTAGTTATTGTATCCTTTAATTATGTAATGAAAGGGGCACGAGGACTGATTGAGACTCACCCTCAGTGAGTGCATCTCCACATACTCCAGGAAGAGGTGTCGTCCTAGTTCCTCCAGAGCTCCCACCTCCTTGCTCAGTGCAGTCACGTCTGAAGTTAGCTAGTTGAGGAAACTTGCGCATGTTGCGGATTCTAGAATACAAGTTCATCAATCATGTTTTTGTGACAGTGGAAACCCTCTCTAAGGACACAACTGAACCTCAGGTCCAACAGTCCTTGCATGCAATATAAACTTATGAAAATAAGGACGCCTCACACTTTCTTCGGCCCCATTGGTGTCAGAGGGGTTCCACTGTATACGTGTACCACGGCTACCGAGTGGACTAGGACTACGAGGTTCATGTTGGATACTCTCTGAGACACCAGAGCCTTTTCCGCTGAACAGACTCCACATCTTCATCATACTGCTCCCACCCTGTCTCCCCACCTCACCCCCACCAAACTGCGGACTGCACCATCACGATTGAAGTTTCAAACATCCATATTCTTCATTATTCCGGTCATACCTGGTTTTCAGCACTTGTGCAATTCTTAAGGGAACCATGGTAGGGGTGGACGGGGGATAGGAAATATACAACAGGCATCAAGAGGAATCAGGCGACAAAACCTTTTCTTTTTGAAAATGATCATGTCCATGTTCTGCATTAGTCTCTTCTCACTAGCCTGCAGGTCTGCATCTGAGATCGAGCTGGGCAGGAAGTAATGGGTTACGTAATAACTACATGATCACAGCTGGAATGAGAGTTATGATAATTTTTCTATAACACAGTCAACAGAAAGCTGAACCCAAACCACAAGCCTAAAGAGGTTCTATAATGCATACTAGGTAATACCATACTTAGTAATAGAAACACACACATAACTTGGCCCCGTGTGCCTAATATTTGGTATATAGTTTAAAGATCTTTGGACCAACTGATCCCCACACCATGACTAGGGATGACTAGGTTTCTAGTAGCGTAAGAGTACCGGAGAAAGTAGGTCATGTAAGTGTACGGGCCATTGACGGCTCCAAATCCTGACAGAATAGCCATCACTGTCACTCCTATCACTCCCACACGACTGATGAGCTGCTCAGTGGACAGCAGGTCTGTATGGCGAGGACACACATCAGCGTGGAAATGATAGATGAAAGTGCACAATATAGCCAAGAGTGGAGCGATGAATTATATAAACCTTGTTTGGCGGAGAGGATTGGGAAAGGGTTTCCCAACTTCCAGAAGATGTACAGGAAGACCAGCCACGTGATGACAGACAGTGTGCGCGCTAGACGCTGATGCTGAACTGAGATGAGATTGAGGGGAGGGATGGAGGGAGAAAGAAGATGAAGCAATGAATGGTGTAGTATCTGGACCCTCACCTAATCGGACAGACGAGACAATCTTGTAGGAGGCATAGAACGGTATTATAAAGATGAGGATGATCAACATGACAAAGAGGTTTAGTCTCCAGTGAAACAATCTAGAGCTGCAACAGAGGACACATGTGCCACATACATAGCTATCACGTGTGTGTGCAGTGGAACCTCCTAATAAGGGACACTATAGGACCAACAATTTGTCCCTTGTAGATAGGTTGTCCCAAATAATACACTAAAGTATTAGCATGGGGTTGAAACAAGTGTCCTGTGTCGAGAGGTCACCCCTATCCTGGAGGGTCCCTTATTGGAGGTTCCACTGTAGTATATAATAGGGCCCTGTATATACCTACGGTCCAAGAAGTCAACTATTTCGAAGATGATGAGTTCGAACATTGTACAGGAGAGAGAGAATGTCGCAGAGAAGAGGAGGAGTACTATCGTGTTCTGGACCTACACAACAAGTACAAATCACCCTCTTCATATGGACAATACTGTCACAGATGTACATAGCATATGAATTGAGTTCGAAGTATAATTATACTTGGTACTCCAATTTGTGTTTGACTCAGTAGCTCCTTACTTCGAAATTCTTGAAGAGTTGCCTTATGATGAAGACCCATCCGAACCCGAAGAACGCCAGCTGCAGAGTCGTTGGAGTGCAGTACGTATATAAGAAAATCTCGTGCGTGAATAGTTGGTGCAGACATACCTGCGACGCAATCATTACCACCGAATCAAAGACAAATTGTAGACTCATGACGACATCTGAGCTATTGGTGTTGAGTGGTGGGCGTAGAGAGCTAAGGAAGACGACCCAAGACCGGCAGAACAGAGAGACGGACTGGAATACAGTATCATTAGGGTTAAAACGTTGGGCGGTATTACGCATGCGCAAGCTGCTCGTTGGGCGCGCGCATGCGTGTCATGAGTGCTGAACTGAACACCTGTGCGTGATTCAAAAAAGTCATGCATCAACTGCTAGTGATGTCAAGCAAGGGAGGCGACCAGCTCACTGAACCCAGGGCGATCCTCTGGTTTGATATTCCAACACTTCTCCATCAGAGCATAGCTGCAGATGCATAGGAGTTTACAGGAATATGATATCTATGTAGACATCAGCTGAGAGTGACTCACACATGCTGGGGACAGAGACCTGGCTTTGGGAGTCTCTTCCCACTGGTTATGTAGTGAGGGATGTCGTAGTTGCTGACTCCGGGGTATGGGGTAACCCCCAGACTAAACACCTCCCAACACACAACTCCATAGGACCACTGTAGGATACAGGGATGACGATGCACCAGTTTACACTCATACAAATTGCCATTATTGTTGCTGACATTTCCTATTACCTAACGATGATGATATTAGCTGCTGCTGCACTATAAAGGCCTAAGAAAACGTTTATGTTTATTCTGCGGCAGCATGTCAGAGGAAGATAAACTCAAGTCAGAGACTAATTCTCACCACGTCACTCATCTCCGTCGAAAGACCATCGGTGAGCGTTTCTGGAGCAGACCACTTGACAGGGATCTCAGTGTGTTTGTCTCCACGGTAGTAGAGATGGGAGTATACGTCCCTGGCCAAGCCAAAGTCACCCACCTTCACCACCCCCTCCTCATCCAGCCTGTAGCGACAGCACATGTTAGTTATTAGAATTACGTGGTGCATCCAGCAAGAGTGCCTGTGGTCCACTACAGTGAAACCTCTGAATTAGGGGCACCCAAAATATTCAGGCAGTGTCCCATACTCAGAATAGTACTTAGTACCTTTTCAGAGGGTTCACTGTATTACACAGAATGATAGCTGTAGCCGTTTGTATGTGTAGTTGACTTTTCACACTTACATGCAGTTTCGTGCGGCAAGGTCCCTGTGGACAAATTTGTGGCCTGAGAGGTACTCCATTCCTCTGGCCACATCCAAACACATGGCTGTTAGTGTCATCACTGTTATTTCCTGAACAAACAAAAAACTGTTTGTGTACAGTTTAAACTGAAAATCACTCACATCAGGGAGGGAGAGTGTGTCAGTGGTATGAACACGCTTCGCTTTCAAGTAGTCTTTGATGTTTCCTTTGGCCATGAAAGGGAGCACAAGGTACGGGTAGCCTTCGGGAGTGTCGAAACATACTCCCAGCAGACCCACTATGTTGGGGTGGTCAAATCTCCTCATCAGAAGACTCTCCTTCAGCAATGAACGAAGCTGCTCTTTGCTGGTCAAATCTGGGGGAAATAGATAGAGATCTTGTCAAATCCTGGAAGGTCATACATAGATATGTGGGAAGGAGTGGCTGCTTCCAACTATACAGGACTTGTAAATTCACATAGAGGCGAGATAGTGTTGCTATTCCACCCTCCAACTATAGTCAAAGTATTGTGTTTATCTTTAGTTTGTCATTTAGTTCACTCACGTGCCTGCAAACCCTAAGGCCTTTTGAGGGGGAAAAGTGCATAAACTCTCCATAGGGACGAAATACTATAGCTATTCCACCCTTCAACTATAGTCAAAGTATTAGGGATGGTTGGTTTGTCATTTTGTTCACTCATGTGCATGCAACAAATGCAAAACTGTTCAAACCAAAGTTACCCCACTATAATTATGGTATTCTTTTAAATTCCCTTAGAAGTGAGATACTGTTGCTATTCCATCCTCTAACTATAGTCGAAGTATAGGAGATGGCTGGTTTGCTATTTCTTTTACTCATGTGCCCGCAAAAAATGAAAAACTGCTCAAACCATGATGGGGCAGGGAGAAGTATACATTTCCATAGAGGCAACTATTCCACCCTCCAACTACATAGTCAAAGTATTAGGGATGGTTAGTTAACCATTTTTGTTTACCGACGTGCCTGCAAGATATGCAAATCATAAGGCTTTTTTGAGGGGTTAAGGGGGAAAGTTAATTTTATTCTGCAGTGCAGAAACTCTTTCCATAGAGACGAGATAATGTTGCTATTCCACCCTTCAACCATAGTAAAAGTATTGGGGGTGGTTGGTTTGTCATTTCGTTCACTCACGTGCCTGCAAAACCGTTCAAACCTTTAGGCAGAAAGTTACCCGCTATACGGGTATTCTGCAGTTTTAAATAGCGGCGAGATATAGTGTTGCTATTCCACCCTCTAAATATAGTCAGAGTATCATGAATGTTTGGATGGCAATTTTGATCACTCGCATGCCTGCAAAAAATGCTCAAAACTGTTTAAACCTTACGGCCTTTTTGAGGGGTTAAGGCTAGTGGTATTCTTCTAAGTTCTATGACATGTGACTGTTTCTTAATAATTATACAGGACTCAGTTCATCATGCTCAATACAGCAGTGACATTGGTGGGTGTTATCATTTACCATTTCAGGTACAAAGTAATATCATATCAATATTAGCAAGACTGACAGATGGATATACAGGCAAACGGACAGATGGATAGATCAATGGGATGATAGAATACCACGGCAGGCTTACAATGAAGTAATAGAGGCCAACCATACTTACTTCTTGCCTTCTTCACTGCCACAGGTTGAGGGAAAGAGTGAGTCAGGAACATAGCCTTACAAACCACACCAAACGTTCCTGGGTCAGAAGATGGCAGAAAATGTCCACACAGTATGCAAAAATGTTATGAATTCTAACCTTCTCCAATAGTTTCTCCCATTTCTAGTTGTTCGAGTGATATGACAGCCTTGTCGAATCTCTCTTCATAGAAACACCGTTCTTCTGCACTTAGCTGTTTATCATTAAAACCTGGGTCGATAAGGGCACTACAGTACATACAGGTTACAGGAGCTTCGATTTAAGCGTCTTAATAGTAGTAGCTATTCTTTGTAAAGAAGTTAGAAGAGCCTAGAGTGGTGACTGTGATAAGTTGAGGCAGCTAGGAGGTGTGTGACAGACACCACCTTTCTCAAATGCACATTCCAAGACTATCGCTGCCTTTGAGTGCTACTCTTTTTAAAGTGTTGCTTGCCTTCCACAGTCAATCCTTCATTGTACTCATTTCTGAATGGTCTGCATGAAAGTAAGGAACTTTCGTTTCTATATTATAGTGCTTTAAAAATGTAAAACTTACACTTTTTCAATTCGCCTCTCCAACTTCTTCTTACTCCTGTACAGTCTTAAGACCACCAGAATTACCACCAAGCCAATTAGTACGATAATTAGCAGGGGTATCCCAAGTCCCAGAGTTATTTGCAGCAGTTCAGTCTCTTCCGTACCTGCATTAGTACCTTCCGTACCTGCATTAGTACCTTCCGTGTCTGTAGTTAATTGTGGTAGGGAAGGGGACAACAGGAAGTGTTACAAAAAACAAGGATTGAAGAGCATACCTGGAAAAAGAGTGTTAATGAAACTGAGATCCTGACACGATTGACTCACAGGTACACCCTCTATCTTGTAGGTATCTATCGAGGAGCAGTTGAAAGACAGTGCAAAGTTGAGAAACTCCACAACTTCTGTGTTATTTGTGCTGCGAATTAGTCTCTTCACAACAGCAGGATTTATACACTTGTCATAGAGTTCACTAATACGGGGACACACTTTTCCACAGATGAGCTTTTGGCTACCTTTGGTGTCACAGTCACGATACGAGTAGAAGCAAGCAGAGAATATGACAAATTGCCCACATATATACGAGCTGTTGGCGGTTCCCTCGCGTAGAGTTGCAAATATGCCCTCAATGTGAGGTGTATTTATGACAAAGTGGTCTGCCGTTGATCTGATAATGGTACAGTACGGGTGAGGTTCAGCCATGATACAACTGCAAGAAAGACCCAATCATGACAAACAACAGAAAGTGTTTTGCTTTTATTTACCCCTATTGCATGGTCTAAAGCAGTCACATTGAGAATTTGGGCAACCTCCTTGATTGCTAGGGAAGTACACCTACCTCTGGACAGAGGACAAAGGCTATGTCCCCAAGGCTATGGAAATGCAGACAGTTGCCGAATCCAGTTGTTATCACATGTTGCTAACAAACAGGATGATGCTGCAGATGGGCCATGCGGTTTTGTCAAGAAAGGATAGTCTTGTCCTTCCATGTGTGTGTGTGTGTGTGTGTGTGCACATGTGCATGGAGGCGAATAACTTTTTGGACAGTATATACCTTTATTGCATGGGTCCATATAATTAGCTTTCTACAAGGGACATAAATGTAGCCTCGTGAGATTGGACTTATCGTAGTCACGGCAGTTATGGTGAGACTGTGCATTGCTGTTATGACTTTCAGGTACTGTACTAATCCTTCCTAAAGATGCCACTGTAGGGCATCTTCTTGCTAACCACAACCTCTACAAGCATCCTGTGTTTGCTTACACTAACCCACACATCTGGAACTAGAGCAACGTCACACGTATTGTTTGCTCTGAAGTTTAAAAGGAAGACAGAATGTTACCTAGGAAACAAGGTCACAAAATGATATTCCAACACAACATTGAAAGCGCACATGAGCTTTTGGTGCTGGGAGGATATCGGTTGTATTATATAGCATATATCCACAGTTAAAACTATTGAAACAGTGCAGCAATAAAAGTATCATTCTTCTGTTATAGAGACTCTATAACAAAAGATTACAGACTATATACGAGCTCAGTTATATAACAGGTGAGAAATAACTGAGGAAGTGATAAAAGTATGGAGAAGTGGGACTGTCCGCTTGCATAAAGGCATTCCAATTCAGTCATTTCTTACCTTGGAAGATCCTCCGATAATATGTCACCACCGCCTATATACGAGTTAGTGGACACAATGGGGAATCTGCAAATATTACGTCCAACTTACTTCCGGCACCGCCAGAGTCCGCCTGTACTGCCTGTTTCATCACCGCTAACACCAGCGCCATGAGTAAAATGCCCTGCATTACCACTAGGCTATACGCGACACAAAATACTGACGACTGCGGGCTCGTTTCAGCGTTCCCGATGTACAATCCGAAAGTAAATCGGACTGCGAGCGAACCGAGTATTTACGCATGCGCACTAGATTGAGTATTGACGCATGCGCAGTAAATTACTCCTGATGCCGCCACGTACATAATAGAAGGCTAGAGCTAGGAAGTCTGTTCCAGGATCATGTAAATACCATATCATTTACATCATAGTTTGTTGTTGTCTTTGCAAGTTGGTGATGCTAGGTCGGTCTCTCCTCAGGTTTTATCCTCCAACCAACAATGGAGAAGAATCTCATACCTGCAGTAAGACAAAGATGTGTTATCGCCATACAGTGTTGACAAAGGCCTTTAACTCCATATGCAGGTTTGCAAGGCATGTGCCCTCATGGGAGCCCAACAAAATGTGCATGCATAGCTACTCAGTTTGGAGTTGGGCGTCATTGGTGGTTCAATTACCCCAGTCTGTTCCTACATGCAGAGTGAGGGTATACTGTGCCACAGCACTGTGGATTGAGGTTTGCCTTTCTCTTGTGTTGTAGATTTGTAGACTTGAACTCAAACCTGTTGAGTTGTCCTGGTAGCAGAGCGTTGTGGGTTCAAATACCACCTAGGGCAGCTATGAAAAAAGAGTTGTCTTGGGTGTAATTGAGATTTATTTGCCTTTAGTTGCTTTGACCTTATAGAGACTGATGTATTCATTGTGGTCCCACCTGCATGGATAAAGTATGGTATTCTTTAAAGGAAGATACAATAACATAACTGAGGCATTAATAATAATTATGTTGCAACTCACCTCCGTCTGCAGTGAAAAAAGCACAAATGAGTTGCAAAAGCACAATTAGTCGACTGGGAATGTCTATTTTAAAGTTATTCGACATTTTTTCAACTACCTACACGAACTTGGACTAGAGTATTCACTATTCTAATGTGCTGTGGAGCAATTGTCGCATTGGATATCACGCATGCGCGAAGGCCGAGCGTTTTGTACTTTGAACCGTGAAGCCATGGCCGGTATTCTCTTCGAGGACATCTTCGACGTGAAGGATATAGACCCAGATGGCAAGAAGTTCGAGAGAGGTGCGTGTCACGTGAGGTGTCTTGTCTGAACTGGGTCGTGCGCTACTTGCATCTATATATCATCCAGTGTCACGACTGTTTTGTGAGAGTGAGAGTTTCAAGATGGACCTGATCCTGGACGTCAACACGCAGCTCTATCCGGTCAGTCTGGGAGACAAGTTCAGACTGCAGCTGACCACCAGTCTGAGGGAGGACGGAGTCCCTGATGATGGGGACTACCTCGCCACGGGTGAGAGGAGGGGACCCCTGCCGGTAATTAGGCGTCGTTTCCGGTGCATATTTCCTCAACACGTGGTCACTAGCAGAAGCTGAAAATGGGTGCCCTTTGAATTGCAGGGTGGAAAATGTGTGTGTATAACGTACTACTGGTTAAGCATCAAGTCAATGTCGGACAGCTTACCAGTGCTAAAGGAACTGCTTCTTGATAGTTTTACAGCTTACTGTTACTCAAAAGTACAAGTCCCTGAGTAGAATGATATAGGACCCTCCATTATCTTTAGAGGCTAACAGTGTTCAATATTGGGAGTTGCAACCATGCTGGCAATACTTAGGACTGGGTCGATTTGCCTTTTAGTATCTTGTTAACCGTTACTGTAGTCGGTCTGTGTGTGTTGTGTGGCCGTCTGTCCACTGTTTTTCCCGGAAACCGTGGCAGTTCTGAAGGTGAAACGTGGACATCGTGGTAGGCATTAGCTGTGGTCAGTAAAACTAGAGCAGAGAGGGCCGCAGAGACTGGAAAAACGGCCGGTTTTAGCTCCCAAGGTGAGTGTGCATTAATTAGAGATTGCGCTAGCCAGGTACTGTGGAGGTACTGAGACGGTGCTTCTTTCACATATATGGACGAGATAAGAGGCTTGCAACTAAGAAAGGGGGTGCATTCAGTGCCGCTGAGCATGCTGTAATGGTTAGCAAGGAGACGGGTGGGAGTCTTGCCATCTGGGTTTTTCCACTGCTTCGTCTGGAATAATTATAAGGGGCGAGGGTTATGCAGTGTAAAGTGCTTTTCATAGATTATAGTGCGTGTGACTGTCTGATGTTCTGAAAGTATATATAGCCATAGCTAGCAGTCTATATAGGCCTCCTGTGTATACACTTAGATCAGGATTCATCGCTGGCTGATGCTTTCGAGTATGTAATGTATGGGAAGATATACCGTCTTGAGGGAGACGAGGGTCACGGAGATTCTGGCAGACTGTGAGTCACTGTGATTTCTAATGAAAGCCCCCCATTCATGTGTTCAATACAGAGCAGCCTATGTGTCCTACGGCGGTCTTCTCATGAGATTACAGGGAGATGCCAATAACCTCCACGGCTTCGAGGTGGACATGAACATATATCTCCTAATTAAAAAATTAGCATTTTAATGTGTTTTGACTCCATGTTAAATGAGTGTGAACTCATACATTTTTAGTTTTTTCACATGCCTATATATCATCATTATCTGATAATTTCACTCACTGTAATAGCTACAGTCCTGCAACTAGGCGCTCTGGAGTCCAATCTTCAAGGGGTTCCCTTTTGGGAGATTATCACTGTATAACTTGACCTTCCCTTTGCTCCCAACATCTAAAACCTTAACAAAATGAAGCAAAGAACTGCCAACTGCTTTCTATCCAACACTTTCCTGAAAATATCAAGCGATAAGACTGCACAAAAAATTGGTTATGTAATACTGTGCAACATGTAACTGACAACCACCACCGTTAGAAACAGACGTGTTATAATAATTGACATACAAAGCTTGAAATGTATATACATGTAAGTATTGTTGCCAAAAATATTGTAGGCACAGTTTATTCAGGAGTGCCAGCATTAGCTATTATGCATAATAGTATGCAGTAGGTTTCAGGATGCAGCCAGGATTGTGCAGATTATGAATGCACATTATGCTGATGACACTACCAATAATGGCTAGTCCCTAGCCTCCTCCCATGCCTCACACTAAGGAATCGCTTGGTAGTGTAAACGCACTATAATCCCAGCCTGTGTCTGAGGCTACACCCACCTTAGGTATGCATTGCTACGATCAGCACTCTGGTATTTGTAGGTGAAGGTGGACCCTTATTATGTTGGTTCGGTTGTTACAAAATAAATGTGGTTACTCACCGATGTATCATTTATTGTCTCATGTTCTAGTAACATACCTCCCTGGTTGTTTTCCTGTGATATTGCTGCTGGCATAACATGTTTTGGTGTTGTCAGTTGTCACTATTAGTATCAGTGTGCCTGTAATGGTCTTTTGTGTGGACGGGAATTAAAATCAGGAGGGTTGGAGCTGTGAAGAAACTATGTAGGCTACCCATGCAGTAAGTGGTAGTTTTGTGCAGTTTAGCTACTTGTGAAGATTGACTATTCCATCTTGAGACCTGTGTGCTCAAGAACCGAAGAGAAGGTTGGAGGAAGCTGCATAGAAGACAAGAAGACCATTAGTTTGGAGGAGAGGGTGGGAGTCAAGAGAACTTTCATCCAAATTTTATGTACGCAGAGGTTTTGTAACCTAATCCCCTTGTGTTTACAAAGGCAGTTGTAGTGTTCACTTACCAATGTCATTACATGTGGCTGCATGAGCTTCTAGACGCAGACGTGGGTTTTACTATTCCACTGACCACTTGCTTTTCCACTTATCAATCGTTGTTACAGTTTGAAAAATTCCCGACAATACTAGATCACTCGGCCGCATGCATTTTGTCCCAACACGTAGCTCAATAGCTGAACATTGATATAATACATACCCAAGGCTGTTTCCAGGATAGGCTCTCACTACTTAGTTAGTACTTCTTCCGATTTTCATTAAAATCACGAAATCAGTATTATAATGTTAAATCTTGACCAAGGTGTAAACAGGTATATACTTGGGCACTTCATGTGTAGCTAATTCTGTAACGAGAATTCTTGTTCACTCACCACAATGCTGAGTAATGAAAATAGTTGGAGTACTCTGAGTCCTCAGCAAACCAGGACTCCCAAAACTACAGTCCTTCCTGGCTATTGTTCACTGGGGAATTTTGAGGCTGGATGGTGACATCATTTTCACTTCTGGAGTATTGGGAGTGTACTAGAGTGTGTCCCTATGCACAGGTGGGGTGACTATCACACACCATGTCTGGCTTCCACCAGGCACTTGCATATGCCACAATCTAAACCGAGGGAACCCGGTGCTTAGTGTGGGAAAAGAGACCGAACGGCTAGCGCACTCTAGCGCCGGCTGCCCCCCCGTCGACGTCATCCATCCGGGATCGCCCACGCACGCAGGCGAGGGTCGATTTGATTGGTCAATCATGACCAACAGTGCAGCGCGAGCGCAAAGGTGTGAGCATGCGCATTGTCACGTAAGAATCTTGATAAAAACCGAGCTATATAGCAGATCGCTAAAGCGAGCGATCTCGATCTAACAGGAGGTCGTCGTTCAACGCAGCAAACCGTAGGATTGCATCATTGATGTAAGTGGACAGACCTCGATCCTGCATGGAGTTACAATATTTTTTTATTCCCGATTGAAAAAAGATGCTGACTTCTTCCGTCGTCGTTTTGCTGGCGCTCTCGGCGTTCCTGCCGGGGGTAGTCCACGCCTTACCCAACGGTGCACCTTCGGGTGCATGCGTCAGGATATTCCCAGAGGGCCACCGAACCGATTCGCAGCCACTTGAAGACAGCCCATTCTCTCTAAACGTATCTTCCTTCGGTGGACAGTATGCGCCAGGGGAGACGTACAGATGTATGTAGCGTATATTATAGCCCTGTTGCAAGAAGCTTATGCGTACGTATAGACCACTACATGCCACCTCTACCTGTGTGTTCATATGCATTTTTGCAGTGACACTCTCTGGCAGTGGTGATTTCCGTGGACTGCTGGTCCAAGCTCGCTCAATTGCTGACAACTCCCCAGTTGGCTCGTTTGAGAATATCAGTGCTTTGACCAGACTCAGCAGCTGCAATAGAGCAGATGTATGTATCTCTTTCTCTGTGCACACTCAACAGACTAATAAATACATGATTCTCCTCCTTAGTCTGCCATTACTCATTCAAGCAGGGTGGATAAGACCAGTGTTGAACTTTCATTCACGGCTCCACCTGCTGGCACTGGGCCTTTTCGTTTTCAGTGAGGTCTTCCATTATTTTTTCTATGACATATATTTGCTGACCACGATTTTTCATAAACCTCAGGACAACAATGGGGCTTAAAATATAAACAACCGTTTACCTAACAAAGTACTTGCGTGAGCCTTGCATCATGGCAGCAATTTTAAAGGCCGCAGTGTAAAAAACAAACACTATGTTGAATGTATTTTGCTAAGGAGTAGCTACCCATAATTATAGTCTTCATCACCTCCTGCTCTTCCGTAATAGCTGCATCCTGCACTATTTGTTTTAGGCCAAGTAGTATTAAAACATTAGCTACACAGTGCCCGTTAGATATCAGAGCTCTGATTAAGTTGCGTATTTTTGACATGTAGGTATGCCGTGGTGGATACATTTGCTGTGTTCTATGCTCCAATCATGTCTGACATTATTAGGGAAGCAGAACGACCGACACGTGAGGAGGACAAAAAATTAATGGGGGGAAATAATTGTATTTGGTCATTTGCCCCTTCTCATTATTAACCTACCTAATTAGCCCCAACAGTACGTAAAAGATTTGGTTGCTAGAAATTTATTAGTTGCTAGGTAATGGCCAATTGTGAAAGAATGCCTAACTAATCAGGTCTCCTTCCCTATTCAACTGAGGGTTTTCTACATTCAGCCACTTTTAATCTGTGGCACATCAGAGTACTGCTTAGGATCAACTCATTACGCGGGTTATAGCATAATACACACTATTGTGTAAGGCAACTACACTTTAGCCAACTTCTGGAATACTTTTGACTCTGGGTTAATGGTAGCACTGCTAAACCGAGGGTAATTAATTTGATACCTGGCAGGTGTCGTTTTTCCCCAACCGCTTCTTCTGCCTCATTGCGATGGCTTATTCATAAGCCATCCACGGCAAAAAGTTAACATAGCAGTGAAAACAGCATGCAGTCGACAGATAGAGTGGATGGTTCCCAAACTAAGAAGTGGTTTCTGCAATCATGCACCAAGTGTTGGTTTCAGGCAATTTTATATTATTACTTCACTAATACAGATGACAATCATGCAAAATGTCCTACTATTATGCAGCAATATTATTGCAACATCCATACATACATCATCCTTGCTCATTTGCAACGTCAATGTTCACAACTCTATTGAACGCTTGAAAGGTCTACGAATCCGAAGACCCAAATTTGGGTATATACCTGTTAGATGACGGATTTATCACCAGAATGCAGACAGAATGATAGCACATTCTAATGCATTGTGGTCATGCATTGCTGCACGCCAAGAAGAGAGTACATTTCGTGGGCATCTGCATGTGGCAAAGGGAGCACATGCACACACTGCAGTTGTTATGCCATTATTCTTTTGACTAAAGAAAGAAGGAGGGCTTATCAGTGGGTTGTGAATAGGAGGAGGAGGAAGAATGAATGCCATTGAAGTTGACAACCATGCAGTTAATGGATCACTCCCTGAATGCATTTCCCCACCTCCAAGCCTATTGTATTAGCATTTATGTGTCAGTAAAATCAACTATAGCACTCTGCACTGTAACTGTGGAAGCTATGTGATATTTTGAAGCTGCTGTTGATGGGAGGTCCAGTGTTTTTTTGTGGTTAGGCAAAGACAGTTAGTTCTAAGTAATCCCGCTAAGTGCTCTGAGGTTTATCCCTGGAGGGTTCCCACCTCAACACCTGCACAGTCAGTGGCAACAAAACTACCCATCCAGCTGGAGTTACTACAGTGAGACCATGTGGCATATTCTAATCTCATGAGGTCATGGGAGATAGTTGAGTCCCAAAGTTCAAAACTACAGTGTTTCACAACTTGTATATATACAGATGTGTAGAATTGGCAAAGGACACTCTATCAGTACATCTCTGTGTAGACAAAGACCAAGGTAGTTTGGTCAGTTGACACCCACTCACACCCACTCAGTTGAAGTGCTAAACTTTCTGAGCTGAAGTGCTAAACTCTGTGTGATGCAGTATGCACTGACCTACTACACCATGTTCTTCTTTCTCGCTGTTGGTATTGCTCATAGGCCATAGGCCGCCCTTTAGCCTGTAGTGTCAGATTAGCTGAGGACACACACACACAGAAATACACACACCACCCTTCGACGAGGTATATCTGTTAAACTTCAGTGCGCCATAGTATGAGGATGAAGTGGTATGTATCCAGTCCAGTGTTCCATTTTAGCTACCTACTGATGCAGCTAGCGCAAGAAACTGGCACTTTCGATGGGCTACAGCCTACACTGATGCATATTGTGCTCATCAATGCATGTGCTGAGGGTTTGATTGTACCATTGCAGAGCCACCTCCACCTTGCCTCCACAATGGTGTGATATACTCTGATGGGGACACATTTCCTGCTGGGGATGGTTGCAACACTTGGTAAGGCAGCCATATCAACATGATGAAAAAATCTCACTATAATACACCATTCCAAGAACATGTATACCGATAATGAGCACATAACAATGTATAATATAGGGACGTCACATCATGAAAAGCATATTTCTTTTTCTGTAAAAGTGTAGCTTTGTGGTCCATTTTATGCCTAATCGCCTTCTGTCACAGCTTCTGTGCTTCTGGAACTGTGGGTTGTACTCTAGCATTCTGCCCAGGTGAGGAAGTGATGTATGTAGTATCTTATTATACTGTAAGGTATCCAGGGTTCATTATTGCGTTTTAAGCTCTGTACTAAAGCACTTTATCGCAGTGTGCAATTACCTAGAGAGAGTTTTTTTATTAAATAACATGAAAAATCACTGAAGTAAAAACCCTCAGAAGATAGTGCACTGAATGGGCTAAACCTGGTAAAGGTAAGCCAGTACTGATTAGGAATATTGCTTTTTTCATGCCATATCTCTTGAACGCAGTCCGTTTCACCTTTATATTTTCACGTATTCATAGCTCTGAAGCCGCTGGCAATGCCAAGAGGCCGCTTTGTAGCCTGTAGTGCCGGATTAGTCGTTAACTCCTGCACACACACTGACAGACAAGCCAAATACTGTAACCCTCGCTGCATTGAGGGTTAATGAGACTTGGTTATGGTGTGACAATAGCTTTAGTCATGTTTACTATTTAGGTTGTCGAGATGGGCAGGTGCGTTTGGTTGATGGCAATGCCACATCGGGGAGAGTTGAACTGTGCTACAACAACACATGGGGTACAGTGTGTGATGACTTCTGGGATGTTGAAGATGCTAGAGTTGTCTGCAGACAGCTTGGACTGCCCTACCTGAGTAAGTGAGCTATGTGGTAAATTGAGTAGGCCCCGTTGTAAGAGGTGTGGTTGAAAAACAGCCATGAATATTTGAAGCACCAAGTGTTGCATCAATAATGTGCATGATGCTGGTGTATCATGCACTTATTGCAGCTCCACTGGCCCTTGATTTTGCTGAATTCAATGAGGGAATGGGACCAATACTGTTGGATGACTTGCACTGCGATGGAGATGAAATGTCTTTGTTGGAGTGTCCTCACATCGGCATTCGAAACCACAACTGTGGACATCATGAAGATGCGGGTGTTATCTGTTCCAATGGTAATTGTGATATCAGATTAGTGCATATTTTGCTTTTAAAAAAGTGCGGGCCAATCGTTTCAGTGATAACCACTCTAGAGTGTTGATGTTCATTCAAAATGATAGACAGTCTAAAGAGAAGAGAATAAGCCTAGCATATGCACGATTTTCTCTTTGTTGCTGGTTTTACAGAATGATTACTAATGTTAAAACATGGCAGCATAAATATTATCAAGTGAGCCCTGTGGTATCATTTGCTATTTCAGATATAACTCAATGCTTCTACAATAACGTGACGTATGCTGAAGGCGAAGGTTTTCCAGACATAGATGGATGCAACAACTGGTACGAGCCGCATACATGTATATAGTCACATAACCTTTCTTGTCACAACAGTACTTGTCGTTCAGGGAGTCTCAGGTGTACTGAAGTTTACTGTCCAGGTGAGGGTCTTCTTACTATATCCAACTTCCAGGGATAAAGTGTGTTCTCTAATGCAGCACCATGCAGCGAGGGCACATTCCCGTGTGATTATGAGACTTTCAGATCCTGTTTCCCAAATCGGTTCAGGTGTGATGGATTTATAGACTGCGACAGTGATGGCTCTGATGAGCTAAACTGTCCGCCTCCAAGTAAGTGAAGGTGTTGTGGCGGGTGGGAGATGGCAAAGATATAGGAACTCAATGAATTGCACTGCGTGACTCTCGCTCTATACCTGGATTGGTGTAGAGCTGGAGTAAAGTCAGTAGGTAAAAAGTGCGGTTATTGTACACTACACGGTAGATTCCAACTAGCTACCGACAGGTTTGTGTGTCAAGGGTTTTGAGTCCCATAGAAGTCATCTTTCACCACAAGCCAATGAGGCAAGGAAAGTAGTGATTATCTACATTGTTACCTCTGTATGTAGTTTCCACTACTTGCGTCTACAATAATGTGACGTATGGTGAAGATGAGCAGTTTCTAGAAGGAGATGGCTGCAACAACTGGTGAGAGCCAAGCCCAACATACACGGCACAACTTTATCTCACGCATCATGTTGCATGAGATAAAGTTGCGTCAAATAGACAACCATTCTATTTCCATGCACCTTCTGCCCAACATACATGGTGCAACATCAATGAGACAAAAGTTTCATGCAAAGTTGTACCGTGTATGTTGGGCTTTATCACATCCTCATGGTTCCTTCTTGTCACAGCACTTGTCGTAGAGGCAATGTCAGGTGCACCGAATATTTCTGTCCAGGTGAGTTACTTCTTAGTGCGTATAGGTTGCAAAGTAGATACACATTATACCATCAGTGATTTTGGCACAAAGTGAAGTGTGCGATGTCCACAATTTTTAAACAGTAGATGAACCTGAATGTTATATGCCATCGATCTACTGTCGTGTGTCATAGAGCAAAGTATTTTACAATGATTGCTAAGCTACTTTATTTTATTAAAATGATAAGTCAATTCGTTATGAATCTATAATAGTGTTTTTCCCAAGCCAGCCTTGATCATTTGTCTGTAGTAGGAGTTTTCAGTGTACCCCTGCTTTGGATTCATGCTGTCGTTATCTGCACCAAAGAGCTTATTTGTGCTACTATCGTGGGACATGTGACTTCATTCATTCTAATGTTAAATTTATGCAGGAACATGTGAGGAGAATGAATTCCGGTGCATAGCAGGGTTTTTCAGACCCTGCGCCCCAAGATGTGATGGACGGGAAGATTGTTTTGATGGCTCTGATGAGGAGAATTGTCCCACACTAGGTCTGGACATGATTTCAGTTGTTAAGTTTTAAGGCCGTATGACACTGGTTGCCCATGCAATGCATAATTTCTACTGAATGTGTGTACAATGGTCAAGCTGCTTCGCGTAGCAGTATAAAGTTATTTTTGCATGGACAAGTTTGAGGGTCAGTTTGAGCATGCAGAGAGCTATGCCATGGATAGCTTGGCTCTCTTGGTTCCCCATGGCACCAGCTCTTGTGAGGTAAGCGTACAAGCGAATGTGCTCGTGGCCCCGGAATCTTGGCAAGTTTAAAGAGATCCGACCAATCCTTGACCTGTGGCCTGATTTTGAAGCTTATTGCTTCCACATGGGCAGCCCATACTTTGGTTGACGTTGGCGGGAGAGTATGAGTTAATACATCTGTTTATTATATTTTCCATTAACTCAGCCATGCAAAATGCACCAATAATCTCACAGTATGTGATTTGTGGCGTGCATACGTACTCCAACTTTAGCACCAGCTGATTGTTACGATGGACAAGTGCGATTGGTGGATGGTAATGTCACATCAGGAAGAGTTGAACTGTGCTTTAACCAAACATGGGGTACCGTGTGTGATGATGACTGGGATAGTGCTGATGCTACAGTTGTCTGCAGGCAACTTGGACTGTCATCTCACTGTGAGTCGTGCAGTTACACTTGACAGGCTCTTCTGAGCTAAATTTTAGGCTCTTGTTTTATTGTGTACTTTTGTAGCATTTTAGAATGTCAAGATAGCTGGCACAAATTTTATGCCTCTACTAGTGGTAAAGTACAACTGAAGTAGCTTTAGAAATCTGTATCAGAATAGACATTGGGTGTTGCATCTTTTTGCAAGATTCTGTGTTACAGGGGCTTGTTGTTATGTGGAATCCTGTTTTGTCTACTGCAGTTCCTATGGCACTTTCATTTGCACATTTTGGGCCGGGAAGAGGACCAATACACCTTGATGACCTAGGTTGTAATGGAAATGAGGTTTCTCTGCTGGAGTGTCCTCATATAGGGGTTGGGAATCATAACTGCAGACATTTAGAGGATGCTGGTGTGGACTGTTTGGGTAAGTAAGTAGGTTTGTATACAGATTGAAAACTAGAGATTGTTTGCTATTCCTTAATTCTAGAGTCCTTGATAAGTTGTGAAGATGAACAGGTGCGTCTGGTTGGTGGTGGAACTGGAGCAGAAGGGAGAGTGGAACTGTGCTACAACAACACATGGGGTACAGTGTGTGATGACTTCTGGGATGTTGAAGATGCTAGAGTTGTCTGCAGACAGCTTGGACTGCCATTTCAATGTAAGCCATGGAACTGGATTGAATGTAACATATAGGGCAGTGGCCGGAAATGAACCTGACATTTTTTATGACAACACCGGGACTTGCAAACGGGCAGTAGCCCCCTATAGAGGGTACCTAGCCATATGATTACTAGGAATGCGCACGCGCATATTTTGCCTCGCGCCTGCCAGCCAATGTGTAAACACTCCGACTGAGGCCACTCGTGTGCGCGCTCTACTGACTGCGCACGAAGCCAGACTTCCTACGAATCTGCACGCACGAGACTTCCTACGAATGACGGAAGTGACATTCCTAAGCGTGACTAATTGACATTCTTAAGCGTGACGACACGTATGTACGCATATCGCGAGAATACAGCCCATCAATTAGCGGTACCGCGCATGCACAGTTCGCCGAGGGTTTGCACTTTAGTGCTTTTCATTAATATTTGTTAGTAATGTATTGAACTATCCTCGTCATTGCAGTTCCTTTCGCTAGAAGCTTTGCGCATTATGGCCCTGGACAAGGACCAATATACCTGGATGACCTAGATTGCAGTGGACATGAGATTTCACTGCTGGAGTGTCCTCATATAGGAGTAGGAAATCATAACTGTGGACATCTAGAGGATGCTGGTGTGTACTGCTCCACTGAAGGCAAGCATTTGTTAACTTTCTACATGTAAAAGTGAGGGAACACAGTTGCCTTAACTTGTTTGCTAGCTTTCCGCCGAGTAATTAATGGTTTCTATCTCTAGGGCCCCAGTGGCGGATCCAGGGGGGTTCCTTTGGCTCCGTGGAACACTTGCTTGTTGTTGTGTGCGCATGCGTCGCCGGCCTCAAGTACGTATATATGATGAATCTGATGAGTTGAACTGTGCTTCAGATAGATACATGAATCAGCAGACATGCATGTAGTATCTTAGGTTCGTAAACCTTTTGGCATAGGACCACAGAAATAGGCTACAGATTAATAGGAAATGATGTCATGGCTTATAGACTAATCATGATTATACTGCAATGTGTTGTAAGAAATGTATGTGTACGTACGTAGCACTCTGCCTAAGTTCCTGTGCTGGAGTTATCCTCATCTGTAGCCTTGCTCTTAATTTACATGTTTTACATGTATCCCCGGTTAATTGTGCACCTGATAAGTGTTACTGACAAGCACATGTACGTATAGAATTAGTGGAATCACACAACGAATCGTCGCGAGTATATGGAAGGGGGAAGGCTGGTCCTTTAGGCTGGCTATACATGAGCTGCGGTCTTATCAATCTACTCAAAGTGTTAGTTTGTTGGAGAGACGGGTACTGGTTTTTGTTCTTTCAGTCCCACCTCCGTCCTTTGTGTGTGAGACTGGACAAATCCGACTGGTCAATGGAAGTAATACCACTGAGGGACGAGTAGAAGTTTGTTTTAACAACACATGGGGTACAGTGTGTGATGATACATGGGGTCGTTGAGATGCCTTTGCCTTTGCTTTTGCCCCTCTGGTCTGCATTGCCCTACTCGAAACGTGTCCTGCAGACACTTGGGACTACCTTTCTTTACATGGGAGTGTGTGAGGGCTGTTGTTTCATGTCAGTGGTAATACATTTTGATAATATTTTGATCGCATAGTTGCTACTGCACATGGCCAGGCTAGATTTGGACAGGGAATAGGACGTATACATCTGGATGATGTAGAATGTAGTGGACTTGAAGTATTGTTGCTGAGTTGTCCGAGTAATGAAGTGGGGGATCATAACTGTGACCATTCTGAGGATGCTGGTGTTATGTGTTCTGGTGGTAAGAGGCTGAGTGTCTGTTCTGCAAGATATTTTATATTCATGTAGAGCACACACTTTAATGTGCCATTTTCAGTGAAGAAGCACTTTTCTATTTCATAAAAACTAGATAGATTTGCTGCTATGTATGTACCTCAGGAGGTGTGGAAGACTGTGAAAATGGTCAAGTACGTCTGGCAGGTGGAAACGACACAGCAGGACGTGTTGAATTATGCTATGACAACACATGGGGAACAGTGTGTGACGCTTGATTGGGTACTGTATAGATGCAGAGCAGTCGTTGTAGACAACCTTGGATGCCTTCCTCGGTTAAGCAGTCCACCACATGTATGCTACAGGACAGATCACTGTGTTTCATTTGCCGTTTTATTTTCTGCACATGTAGCTCCATTGGCACTTGGGAATAATGTGTATAGTGGAGCAACTGGTCGAATACTATTGGATGATGTAGAGTGTACTGGGTTTGAAGACTCGTTGCTTCAGTGTAATTACAGAGGGATCATCGGAAGCCACGACTGTGGACACCATGAAGATGCTAGTGTTGTGTGCTCTAATGGTAACGTTTATTGTTACATACTTTGGGTCTGTTTGCTAGACGTAGTGGACATGTATGATAACGGAGTGTTGCTGCTCAGGTGATGCTGATAATTGTGTCTTTGGGCAAGTACGCCTTGTTGGTGAAATGCTACAGCAGGAAGAGTCGAAATCTGTATTGATGGAACATGGGGCACAGTGTGTGATGATGAATGGGGTATCAATGAAGCTAGGGTGGTCTGCAGACAACTTGGACTGCCCTTCCTGAGTGAGCATCTCTGTAGCATACTCACGGCCAGTGATGGTGTTGTCATTGGCACCTTGTTTATGTTGCAGCTCCACAAGCACCTCACCGTGCCTCTTTCGGTGAGGGAATGGGAGAAATAGTACTGGATGATTTGAGCTGCAGTGGAAACGACACATCTTTGTTGGAGTGTGGTCACCGAGGAGTTGGGATCCACGACTGTGGACATAATGAAGATGCCAGTGTTATCTGTAAGTGAGACAGGGTTAGCAGGCATAGGAAGTGCTGTATCGTCGTACGAAAACACGTGCATGCAAATGAAGTCTTGTTGTGTTGTGTATCAGTGGTTAATTGGCGAGCAGGTCTACTTAGTCACCATATAAAACAAAATTAGTTATGCTGGTGAACTTGCTAATTCCTATGGACTTACATCATTGAGTTCTTCTTGCTTTGCATACTGTTGCGGCACCAGAAGACACCACGTGGGCAGGTATCGAGGGACGAGTAGAAGTTTTTTCAACAACACATTACATAGCAGTATGGGTGCTGCAATTACTTGTGGTGCATGCATTTTGTAGTGACCTGAGTGCTTTTATTTTGGTTGTGTACTACTACAGGTATA